GAGAAAAGGTTGCATGAGGCAAAAAACTCAGTAAAATGTACGCGCACACGGTGAGCTATCGGCTGAGCTAACAGGCACGAGTAACTTTTTGCTCAGCAGATAGCTCTCGTGTGCTGCAGGCTTAAGGTAGATCAAACAATGTCCAAGACAAGAACAGTTAAATGTGGAATACCCCAAGGTTCTAATCTTGGGCCACTTCTTTTCTTATTATATATAAACGACCTGCCAAACTGCCTGACCTCATCTTCAGCAAGCATGTTTGCCGATGACACAAATGTTTCAACCCATGGCAAAACAAATGACGAACTACAAGAACGCATTAACGTGGACTTAGAAAATATACACCAATGGTTACTTGCAAACAGACTTACACTTAACAAAGATAAAACTGAATACATGATTATTGGTTCAAGACAACGAATTTCAAACTTAGTACTAACGGACCCTAAAACTGAGCTTGGTGAATCAGTCATTAAACGGGTTCACAAATCAAAAACTTTAGGCGTAATTATTGATGAACATCTTTTATGGAAACATCAAATCCAAAATATTGTCACAAAAGCTTCAAAAGGAATAGGAATGATGCGACGAATAAAACATTGTGCTATCACATTTTGATTATTGTAGCTTGGTTTGGGATAACTGTTGTGATTACTTAAAAAACAGACTTCAGAAATTACAAAACAGAGCGGCCCGAATCATCACTGGTAAAACTTATGAAGTTAGTTCTGAGGATGTTTTAAAAGAATTAGACTGGCAACCTTTAAACCAACGCTATAAAACCAATAAATCGATTTTTATGCACAGAATACGAAACGAAAAAATGCCATCATCAATTTGCAACATGTTCAAAATTAAAATAAATGACAGATATGATTTAAGAAGTAACAATAACAACTATGATCTTGGAAAACCTGAAACAAATTTTATGAAAAAGAGCTTCAGTTATTCAGCTGCATCCCTTTGGAATGACTTATCAACTACAGCAAAAGAAAAAGGCATTAGCCTTAACAAATTTAAACGTATTCTTGACGGCACTTGATTCCTTTTGGTAACTTTGTAAATATTTAAATAGGATAGGATATTTTTAGATACAAATGTAGTGCATGCAATTATTAAGTTCGTTATGTTTTCTCTGTTTTTGTGTGTATATTTGTGTTATTATATTTATATAGCTTGTAAATACTGTAATAAACGGCCTCTTGAAAAACAGGTGCCTACGAGCCCTGAAGAGCTACCGTTTTAAAATATTTTTAAATAATAAATAATAATAATAATAATAATACGTCCGGCACACGAGTAGTGCCACGTTTGAAACAAGCCTGACACATCAGAAACGTCGTGCCTCGTGGAACTGATACCATTTATTTATTTATTGTGATGCTACACGCGACAACTCGAAATTTAAATTGTTTCACCAACAACCAAATTTTGCATACTCTAAAACTTCATTTGCATTTGCAAAAGCATCCCAACGAGGCTACTGGCATGCTAAACTTATTTAAAACTATGATTATTCCCATCATCCCTTTAGCACCCATATTGCACATTTAACTACTATCTCAGTGACAACTTTAATTGAAATAGCTGTATTAGATATGTTATGAATAATAAGCACTACGACGTTGCATCATTAAACGGACGCATTTTATCCCATCCGCTCCGTATTTTATCCCCATATCCGTTCCGTTGATCCGCTCCATCCGCTTCCGCATTTTAATCTAATTGTGACATGTTTCACAACAAAAGTCTCATTGACCTTTGACTTTATATTCCCAGTGTCACGTTGTGTCATTTTCAGCTTTTCGCATATATATTCAATAATGTCACTTTAGATTTCAATAGTTTCACAGTTATAGCAGTGTTTAATTAAAGCAGTTTTGATACACGCGTTTGATACAGCTATGTGTACAAATTTATTCTCGTAAGATCTGGTAGAGTTATCGTTGCACTGAATTGAACACGAGTTTGCACCGTTGTGCTAGACAGTGAACAAGCCAACAAGGTCCGTGACGGTACGCGTTGGCAACCTCCTTGCTTTTTTCTTCTATTGCATAAAGCTTGTTGGCGAGCCAAGCGATTTGCGATAACACGTTGGCTATATCCTCGTCTTTCTTGTTTAAATAAAGAGCTCTGACTCAACTGATTCTTTAGTCTCGCAAGTTATTTTCTTCGTACAAACACCCGTACAAACACCCGCTTCTGTTTAATAGTTGTTTACGCTTTATTGATCTGATGCAATTTTTGGCCCTTTGTTTTGAGTGTAGCCATCTATTCTGTGTAGCACCTTATACAGTCAATGTATAATGAATACTCGCGTACGGTCTAAATAATCATCGATAGGCACTTAATTGAGTGCTGGTAATGCATAACATCAATTATATATTGCGTAGAATCGGCAAAGGTTTTCTCAATATTCATGTCTGACAATAAATGTTTATATATTTGAAAACAACACTGTCTCGCTCCTTCCTACGTGCTACCCCTGTATAATAAGTATACCGTGAAAATAATATCGGCACTCCCTTATAACCAAAATTTTGATCTAGGCAAGTCTAGACAAATATTTCATCACAGCTTGAAAGAGCATCACAAAATTAGTAGTATTCCAAAGTTTCGTCGCGAAATGTTGTAAAATGAGGAAAATAGAGCCTTGCGAAGTTTGCAATTTTCAGTCATTTTGCATTACAAACGGGAAATTGCAGCCCCAACACCCGAATCGGATGTCAATTTCCCGTTTGTAATACAAAATGACTGAAAAACGGTCAACATGACTGATCAACTATCCGCATTTTACAAGATTTTGCAACAAAACTTTGGAGTATTACTAATTTTGTGATGCTCTTTCAAGCTGTAATGAAATTGTTGTCTAGATCGAAATTTTAGTTCTAAGGAGAAAGGTCCATTGAATGCCTAGAGGCTAGAATCTCACTAGAATCTCAAAGATTTTCGACTCAATATTTTATACGTCTGAAGTGTTTATACACTTGAAAAAAAGTCCTGTCTAGCTCCTTCCTAGCTCTGTATAATGAATATACCGTCTAAATAATATCGGCACTTAGTTAATTGAATGTCCGTAATACATAACATCAATTTATATATTGCGTAGATTCTATAAGACTTACTCGATATTCACGTCTGAAATAAAAACAACACTGTCGCTCCTTCCTAGCATATCGTCACGCAATCGTGATCTACGGCTTGATAGCGCATGCGCATTTGCGCTGCTAAAGAAAAAATCGGGTGTTCCGGGGTAAATATCCTTTACACAACATGAGAAGCGAGTGTTATAAAATTTACAAAAAATTACAACAATGAAAACCATTCCTCGAAATTTTTGTGAACTTGGCAAAACGATAAAAGAATATTTAAATAAGACAATTGAAATTGCCTAAATAACCTTCAAAGCACTGACTAAGTACGATAAATCACTACGAACATAAATCGTATACACCCGGAAAGTTTACTGTATGACTGAATGAATGGAATGAATGAATGACTGACTAATTCGTTTGAATTTTCCCCCCACTCATCACAATGCTGTTCACACTAAAAAGTAAGTACCTTCATTGTTGCCAAGGTTTTCCAACTTCAGTAACAAATTACGTAGATTTTCGTCCATTTCATCCTGCTGTTCTGAAGAACCAGCTGACGTTGTAGTTTGTGTGATGATATCCTATTGGATTTTAATTAACGACTTTAAATTAATATATGCAGATTTACCGGGTGGCACAAAAAAGATCTCCTGTTTCATTTAGTTCAACTTAAAACCCAAAAGAGCTGCAGAGATGGAAAATTTTTTTTTCGTTCTGATAACTTGGTTTTAGGGCTCAAAATTTTCTGCAAAATATTACAACTAATAGGGTAAAATAACAAAATTGTGAATGTGTCATAAGGTTGTCGTGTGAAACAAGTCATACAAGATAAATCTGAAGTAGTTAAGTAGTCTCTGTCCTCCGCAGAGGCTTACATGAAGTTGCTAGTGAGGGAAAAGAAAGCGCGCAAGGAGTGATGGGAAGACCGAAGTAAAGGAAGCCTCTGCTAGTTTATGCAATCAACGTGGCGTCGTATATAATCGTTTGGAGTTCGGTTCGATATCAACATTCGAGGGTGTTAAAACATGTTTTCCACTTTCCTTTTCAGGCGTACTTGAGTCTCCTGGGGTGAATCCAATATCAATATCTTCTTCTGTTCATTACTGACAGATTGCAAATGAATATAAATGGATATGATTATCTGATTATAAATATCCTCTAAATTGCAACATTTCTTTATAAAAATGACTCAATTGAACTTTGATACTAAGATCACGAAGATTTATTTCAATTTCTTCCACATTTCCGTCCATTTCGAGTTTAAAAAATGTCAAACAAAAGTTTGGTTCAAAAACCATACCTTTTAGCATTACGTGGCAGAGCATTCTCGGCTTCGTTTCAATCTTCACATCACTCCGCGCGCGCTCACTTTTTTTCTGGAAACTTCTGGAAAAGTTATTTGCAAATACTTAAGGAGGCTCTGCGGAGAAGAGAGGTTAAGTAGTTACAGTCTTACAGGATTAAAAACAAATTTCCTACTGCTGGCTATATGAATTTTTTTGAAACTTTTCTGCTGCCGTTTATGGCGGCCGGTCACGAAACATGACGTACTTCCGGCTTCAAAGCAAAACAATAGATGCGCTATCCTGCAGTCGTAGTACATATCGATGGATATGATGCACACTGAAAGTGGTGACACCATTGTTACTGATGACCCTGGCGGTTTACGAAAAAGAAAATTGCAGTAGAGGTATCCAGTTGGGGCCGGTTGTTCGAGTGCCGGTTAGCTTAATGCTAGATTAGGCTAAGCGTTAAACTTCGAAGCAAACTTGCCAATAGCATGAAGATATTTTTCCAGAAGTCTTGTCTGGATCAATAGAAGTTTTATTTTCTAAAGTTGTGTGATAAACGAGCGTGCAGAAATACTCAAACCAAAACAGCAGATTAAATTTTAACCCAGGTTCAGAACTAATTCAGAATTGAAGAATCGGCCCCTGGTGGTGGCTGCTATGTGTTCTTACCATGTTTTCTGTCCCTCTTTGCATTGCACTGAATGACATGATTGGTGAAAAGGAACTAGATAAAACAAGAGCAATTATAAATTACAAATTGAATAATAATGGTCGCATCTTGCGAAGCTGTTCCTGGTTAGGTCTGATAAATGTGTATAAATTTCCACTTGACAATTTCCATCTACAAGATCCTTCAACTATTATTGATGGCAATTGCCCGATATCATGGTGATACATGAATAGAAATTATTTAAGAAATAGGAAACGAGTCGCGTGCGTTTATGATTTGATAATTTACCAGGTAAATGTTGGGAGAATACGAGGAAAGCGTGTAAAACACGAGACGTAGACGAGTGTTTCACACGTTTCTCGAGTGTTCTTCCACCATACCCCGACTGCATTATCATACCATGAACGCACGAGACGAGTTTATCTATTTACTCGCTGGGGCACCTGTGCCCCGGACGAGTATAGGTTTCGGTTCGCATTTTTCTCCGATAGTGGATCTTCGATCGATAGCCACAAAATAGAATATTAATGAGCTACCTAATTTTTACCCAAATTATCCATAAAGCTCCTGCGGCTCCTCCAATTTTTACCCACATTATCCATAAATAACCCTGCATTTTGAGGAAAATTCGGGAAATTTGAACAATTTTACAAGGAATTTCGACATGGAAACAGCAACCTTCGCAAATCGCAAGTTACGTTTGGCTGCGCTGCTTTATATTTTGAGAAGAAAGCGACACCGTTCCATACGATTCAGCGTAAGAAATTGTACTTACGGATGTCAAGTGTATTACTAAACACCAGTATTCTAGCGATTTATTGCCTTTGAAAATCAAGCGAAATTGTATTGTTGATAAATCGCTCGCAGTATGTATTGAGGATAAAAATACCACCGTTCGATTCAGCGTTTGAAATTGTACTAATTACGGATGTCAAATGTACAGTATTACTAAACAACAGTATTCTAGCGAATATGGCCTTTGTCAGTTGAAAGCCAAGCGAAATAATTGTATTGTTGACAAGTCGCTCAAAATTATTAATGCAGTACGTTTAATCCTTGATAACTTTGGTATCATTGGTTTTCTCTTTTTCGGCCGTATACCTGCAGTGGATTCGTCTCACTTCTCTCTTCATTTTGATAGTATTTTGAGCCCAAAAGCCCCCAAATATTTTATTTTGAACGTTTTAAAGATGCGGTACAGTCCGTATGTAAACAAAGGCTTTGTTTACATTTCGGTATCCAAAATATTGAATTTTATTCGACAACTATTTATATTTTCATGATTCTAGAGTATAATAAATTATCAAGCGACAACAATCAAGCTTTGCAAGAACATAAAATGAAATAAAAACCTAAATAAACTGTTTGTAAATAAAAAGAGGGCTCCTTTGTGCACATGCGCAGATCAGATTGTGCGCATCTTTAAAGCGCAGTTTAATCCTAGCGTGCGGACCACGGACCAACTGGCGGCTGACAGTCTTGAAGAAATAGAATGTAGCGTACTATAAAATATAACTTTACTTGTAGGGCCTACCGCATTTTAGTACTGTGTTACATGTAAGCCTTTCGTGCCGGTATCGACTTTTCCGCTTAGCTCGGGGAAGACCTTAAATCTTAATTGAAATAGCTGTGTACTGTATGTATCATGTACAGTAATGTGCGTATTTGTATAGCCCTAGACTCGGGTTCAAGTCCGTCTCTGAAGGGGTTGAAAATAGCGATGCACACGAGCGGTCAAAAAAGGTGCGAAAATATGAGAGACGGACTTCAACTAACCTGAAGTTCAGGCCCTAACCAAGTCTAGTATAGCCCCAGCGAGTTAACGCTCCGCAGAGCGTCTTGTTCTTTTATAATACAATTAGATTAGAAGATATTACGTGATAAACAATTTTATTCAAAAGATTGACTTTGAATTTCTGCTAACATGTAATCAGTGACATCACACGAATGCTTTTACTTGTCGCTTAGCAACATGCAACAAGCTATTCTAGGCGGGCGAACGAGCAAAACAAAACAAAATTTTGATGTTGAAGTTGCGAAAAACTGTTCAATATACTGGAAATAAAAATAAGCAGTGATACGCAGACTAATTTGCTAACATGCATTTTTAATGCTTGAGAAGCAGAGAAGCAATTTGTAAATCACATTTGTTCAATTTTTTCTTTTGTATTCCTGTATCTTTTTTAAGTTTTTTTTCCCGCTACTTTGCTTTTGCCCAAAATTGTCAAGAGAAAAACACATTCGACGAATCCCAAGCTGGCTAATTTTACACCTAAATAACTTTACATAGAATCCTTCGGTCTATTCTTTCTTCCTTCAAAAAGTTTATAGCTCTGTGTATATTTTTGGATAAAAAGCAGAGCCGAAACGGAGGAAAAATGCACAGAAAAACCAGACCACAGTGCATTAATATTGGTTATTATGCACACGCATTAGCGAATCAAATTGCATGTTATCCACGTCTCACTTATATTATAATAAAATATAAGTGGGATATGAATTTTTTCTGTGTTGGTGTAGTGTACTCAGGTTAATATGATATTTGTGTTGTTACTCTGAGTGTATATCCACACCGGGCAAGCTTGAAAAATATGCCCGGCCACGGTGGGATTCGAACCTACGACCTTTGGAATACCAGCCCAATGCTCTTCCAACTGAGCTACGCGGTCAGGACGGTTCGAGTAAGTGATATTTCGGAACAGTTTCTAGTTCCTTCAATACCAATGTGTTCTAGTAATATGAATTTTTTCTGTGTTGGTGTAGTGTACTCAGGTTAATATGATATTTGTGGTGTTACTCAGTGGAAGAGCATTGGGCTTGTATTCCAAAGGTCGTAGGTTCGAATCCCACCGTGGCCGGGCATATTTTTCAAGCTTGCCCGGTGTGGATATACACTCAGAGTAACAACACAAATATCATATTAACCTGAGTACACTACACCAACACAGAAAGAATTCATATTACTAGAATACATTGGTATCGAAGGAACTAGATTCTGTTCCGAAATATCACTTACTCGAACCGTCCTGACCGCGTAGCTCAGTTGGAAGAGCATTGGGCTGGTATTCCAAAGGTCGTAGGTTCGAATCCCACCGTGGCCGGGCATATTTTTCAAGCTTGCCCGGTGTGGATATATACTCAGAGTAACACCACAAATATCATAAGTGGGATATCAGATTAAAATGCACTTGTCTTGACAAGCTTTGGGCAAAAATAAATAGGTGAGAAAACTTGAAAAAGATACAGGAACACCAAAAACATAGAAAAAAGTTACAAAAACTGGGCAAATATATGTAATCTAGAAATTGCACGATGGTTGAGCATTATATATGAAGAATTGTCAAGCCCGACGTTTGTGTCATGAACCGAAGCCGAATCCTGCGAAACGGAATTCAAGCATTGATTGATTAATACTTATTTTTAAAATATAAAAAAGATATCCGGTCCTGAATGTGGTTCAATTTGTGATTTTTCATTAATACTTCGAGAATTAACAAGTGTAATTTCCTATTAATATTCTTGTAGTCAATTTTACACTAGTGCTCAATGACAACAAACATTGTGTATTAAAAATATGCTCTCAAGTACGCCCCATATTGCATGTTATAAACGGTAAGACTAATTTCTGATATTAATTTTCAATTCACACCTGCATGTAAAAACTGTGATTAATTTTTATTTCACCTTCGTCGTCTTCTTTTATATAAGAGCTCGGTGTATAATAAGATCTCAGAAAATAGAAATTTTCACGTTGTTTATTACATTTCGTGTTCAAATTTCTGCAAGGGCGTCCAGAACTCACGCGGGCTCGTATATGCGTACCGATTAATCTCTATCGCTGCATGCACACCCGCGTGCCGATTAATGTTTAATCGGCACTGTCTTTAACAAATCCGAATAGAGCAAACTGACTAAAATCATATCGTAATAATAACTAACCTTATAACAACACTCCTTGTGACAACATAATCAACTTCCTTTGACCAAGGATTGCGAAATGTAACTGATGTAGATTTTAAAGGAACATAGTGTCCAGCTTTCGCGCGAAACCTGTATATAATTTCCGGTGTTGACCTGGACTTGTTATTGAGGTCTTTGTAATGAGCTTCAGCGAGGATCTTAAGGTCATCTTTATGTAAGAAACTGTATGCTGATTTCCCGTAAACTTCGTCTGAACAATAACCAAGTATCTTGGTGAAACTACATTGAAGGGATGAATGAAATAAACAAGTGTTCATCACATTTCCCAGCATTGTTGAAAAGCAAAATTCCCAAGTTTAAGATTCTAAATAGGAAGTTACCCATCATCCCTTTCGAGCTCAATGTTCAAGGTTTAAGATTTTTGAAGGACAACCTTTTTTCGAATATATAATATAGTTTCCAATTCAAAAATCTTAAACTTTAAACATCGAGCGCGCAAGATGTGATGGGTAACTCCTATCTGGAGGCTTAACTTCCTATGTAGATGGGTAACTTCTTTTTAGAGGCTACGTCTCGTGTTTTACACGCTTCTCTCGTGTTCTCCAACACTCTCCTCGTGCACTATCACACCCAAAACACGCGCGACTCGTTCTATTTCTTAAGCATAATAGTGTTGGGAAGCATTAAGAACAGCTAACCAAGGTCACGTGACATGACTACTGCCAACTCTCATCTTAGTTTGATCTAGGCTAAATAAATACATTTTGCATGGTTGTTTTGGTTGTGATAAAAACATTTTTCGTTTTATGAAATATATTTACCTCTGATCAACACGAACGATAGTAGAGTCAGCTCGTTGTCTTGTTTCAAACTCGCAGATCTGACCCAGCTTGCTGTAGTCAGTTTGCTCGGTACCTATTTCAAGAATACGACCGATAGCAACCAAGCAACTGCGAGAGTTTGGATCTTTGCTCGATTTTATCTCCTTATTTGGCGGCCACGATTTCAAATAACCTTCGTACGAAACTAGAAAACAAGATAGCATACGATTTCAGCAACAAAAAAGTCTCCACGTTCAGACCTGCGATATCCTTCCTGTGACGTTTACACTTCAAATATACCCTTTCGCAGACCTGGGAAAAAGTAGTGGGCTCTCGGGATCATGAGGAACATTTGGTTAACGTGGAAAAGCTTTGGAAAAAGTAGGATTAATTAGGCATAATTGTCCAAAAGAAGTATAAATTTTTGGCTAAAATCCCTAAATAAATTTTTTTTTCAAAAATATTGCTAAATAGAATATCACACTTACAGTAGCTCTGGAACGTACTTTCATACTATCATACTTTCTTATCCGTAATTTGAGATTGTGAAATGTTGTTCAATGTTCAAATCTGGCACAAATTTTCCATTTTTTACGCATTTTTGAGAACATCAAACTCAGGATCAAGGAAAGAAAAACTCAGGGTCTGACGAACATTAAACACTTTTTTCAAGTCTCGTCTGGAGAATTCATATATTTGGACCATAAAACGATCATATTTATTTGATCGGATTCTAGAAACTAAAATTGCTTTGTTATATACTTTTGAAGGGTTTTTGTTGATGGAGATTTCGAGCAGACGATTATGTACTGTTTAATAAACGAGCAGGAGTGTTTTATTAGGTTTAAAGTCACGAGCGCGCAGCGCGAGTGGCTTTAGACCTAATAAAACACGAAATGCGAGTTTATTTTAAACGGCTTCAAACACGACTACAAATTCAATAGATATACTGCCTTATTAGTATTCTTTATATAAAGAATACTAATTAGGAGTGTTTTATCAGGTTTAAAGCCACTGCACGTGACCTATTATGGTTGACATGATTTGCCAATAAGCTTATGAATTATTAATGAGTGTTTGAAATACAATTTTAAACATAACCATTGGCCCTCGGGCATGCATGAATCAAACCTGCGGTTCCCGTGCAGCGCTCTAACCAACTGAGCTACAGAATCCAGTCATCGAGATCTAAACACAAGTTCTTGTATATAGGTCCAACCTTTATAGCGTTACTAAACTGTACCTGCCTTGTATCGGACACAATTTATTTAACAAGAGGAGACAGTCATACCTGCATGGAGAAAACGGAAGGTGTTTGGTTAGCCTGCGAGCAGGCTCTCTATAGGGGAAAGAGAGCCATAGATATCTTATATACACTAGATAGTGCATCTAATTATTCTGTAATTCAAAAATTGAAGCCGTGATTGCAGTCTCAGGTCGTTCCCATGAAATGAGAAGATTCGTATGTTTTCTATTTCTTAAACAGGGAACTTCGACATTAAGTTAACCCTATTCCAAATACGTTTTTAAACTATTCAAATGATGAAAGTTATTGTTGTTTTTAAGCGTTTATTAGCAAGTGGGAACGACCAACATGGCCGCCATCTATTCAAATGGGGGTAACCACTGGAATATTCTTGGCTTCAATTTTACTAAAAGAGATGCGCTATCTTAGTGTATATAAGATATCTATGAAGAGAGCCTGCAAGGATCCCTATGATAATTGCGTGCCGCCCTTCAATTTAATAGAATGTCACAGGTCAATTAATAATAACCAATCAGCGCAGCCCGGAAATTCCCCTTCAATATTGTAAACATAAACGTTGCACACCATTTATATTCTTTCGTTAGTTTCGTATAACAGACCGCCACTGGGGCATCGTAAAAATGTTAAAAGCTCGAGGTTTTACAGTGTAATATATCAAGTTGTACTTTTTATTACAGTCTGCATGTGTTTCTGTAAGCACAGTAAGTTTAAAGTTGTATGTTACCCGCTAACTAATTCAAGTGATAAACTAACTTACTGAAATTTATGGCGTTGGTGAGACATAGACATATATGATATACCATGGACATAATTTAATAATATGTCTGCAGTTCAAATTTTGCAACAAAAAGTGGAATTAAACATGCATGTGATAATTATTGTAAACAAAGTGACAAGTAAATACTGCACATTTTAACGCCGCATATACTTATAAATATTAAATAGTCAGTGACATTGTAAAACAAGCTTACACACAATATGCACTGAATATTATCAGAATAATTCTCAATATTGTTTGATAAAAGAGAAGCGATACAATGCCTCGTCCCTATAGGACTAGGTTTCGGTTTGCGAATTTGTTCAGTCTTTCCCTCAATTTTATAGTTAAATATGTTCAAGAATTATTTTTAGCCTAGGAGTCAGACAAGCGCAGGACTCAAGAATGCATGCAAGCTTTTAGTATTCATCTTTACAGGTATATGAATACTATATTAATTTACAGTAAAAAGTCAACAAGGATACAAAATACATAACACTTTTATCTCTACATTGCCGCAATTGCGAAGCTTTGCGTTGCTTGGTTTTACAAACAAAGTGTAGTTTATGGAAGCTTATCAACCACTTCATTTGAATCAGTTATCAACCAATCAGAGCGCTGCGCCCAAATATTGGACGCATGCACGTAAACGCTATAGGCAGGGGCGTAGGAACGGGGGGAGGGGGAGGGGGCCTAGGGCCCCCAAGTTATCAGAAGACACAAAAAGTGCCCTCTCTCCGGTGGCAAAGTGCAAAAAAAAAAAGTCTTCGTGAAAAATGTTCAGAAAATAACCTGCATTTCTTGAGAAAAGTTCCTTCAATAACAAAATGTCCATGAAACAAATAAATTTAACTTTTGGTCGATGTTTTTAAAAAAAACAGTTAAAAGCGTTGATTGCACGTTGCAATTCGAAATTTAGGCAAATGTATTATATTAAGCATGGAATATGATATAAATTGCAAAATGGTCTCCCTTCTCCCCCCGTCGCCAACATTTCCGGAAAATTTTTTTAGGTGCGCTTTTCATTATCCAAAAGTGCCCCTCGAAGATGGTACCCCCCTCCCCCAACCTTTTGATGCTTCCTACGCCCCTGGCTATAGAGATCCTTGCAGGCTCCCTTTCCCCTCGAAGGCTCTTATCCTTGCAGGCTCTCTTTCCCCTCGAAGGCTCTCTTTCCCCTCGATCCTTGCAGGCTCTCTTTCCCCTAAAAGAGGGCGTCCAATTTTGGTATAACGATACATCTACAGTAAAAGGGGGGGGGGGGGGGAAATTGATCAAAATGATCAAAATGTCAAATGTATAATATCAAATTGATCAAAATGTCAAATGTATAATAATAATGAGAATTGAAGCTATTTCGTTTCAGATATATTAATATACTTAGGGAAACAATTGAAAATAATTTCCCTCCCCTCCCCCAGAATTTTGGCGTCCAAAGGCGTCCATTTTTCGTTCTAGGGGCGTCCAAGGACGCCTGGACGCCCTTCTGGCTAAAATCCTGACTGCACGGACTATATACTGTGACTAATAGGCTTCACATGATCCCGAGATAAACAACTACCCCACGACAAGTCATTGACCCGGGAGACTGATATAAAACGGCGAAATATTACTAAATGAAAAACATTCTGATACACTTTAATGTTTCGATATTTACAAATAGACCGTAGTTGATTGGCTAGCTGTTTTTTGTTTTTATTAGCTTCGCCAACTAGGGCAGGGTCACCACAACAGCATATGCCAATTACTGTGGGCCCTTTTTACCTAACCCACCCTGTCAACTTTTCCCTGTGGGAGGAAACCGGAGTACCCGGGGAAAACCCACGGCGTTCGGCAGAGCGTTGACTTTTTACTCTTTTCACATGGGGACTGGGTTCGAGTCGCACTGAGAAGGTACTTAGTGAGATTCGAACCTGCAGCCTCAGAGGTGAAAGGCAAGTGCGCTCACCACTTGGCCACCCAGCTGCAGCCGTAGTTATTATTATTGTAGACCAGATCAAATTTTTGGAGCTGAGTTATATAGCAAACATTTCTTGGTTTCAAAGATGATATGAGTAACGCACAATTTTATTTTAATATTATTCGAATCCTTATAACTTATAGATTTCTATAATGATACCTTCAAACTCTAAAAGTAATTATAGCCGCGATTTTGATCGCTTTGCGAAAAATTTATTATCTCGGGCGAATCACATGTATATTTTTCAACTTTCTATAAAGTGTGTGACTTTTCATGCTTTTAATTCTAAACTGACATCAAATTTGCAGGTTCAATAGAATAAAATGAGAACTGCTATAAAAAATAGATGAACTGTTTTTGTTTGCAAAAACAAAAAATAGGTACTCGAGGAGTGCGTAAGGATTTGCAATTTTGTTATCAATTTTATAATGCATGCAAGAAAGATGGAGACATATCGCCCAAAATGTAGTATAACAAAACACAACATCATGACAAATCTTTGTAAAATTTAAAATTAATCTACTACAACTTTTAAATGGCTTTATCACTGCCTGAACGATAAAGGAAAAACTCAATTTGTAGAAATGTTGAAGATATTTAACGTTTGGATAAAAAGACGACAAAATTGTTTCGATGTTTCCACATTCCACAACAGGCAATTACATTTCTAATTCATTTCCAATGAGTACGAATGAAACATGGAACAATATAGTTTTCATAATGGAAACACCGCTTTTAATTCTATTTTATAACTCCGCTCCTGAGTTGAACGAATTTGTCTTTCAGAACCTTTCCATGCATTTACGTATTTCTAGCAGAAAACAGTCATATATTCCTTCGTTTAGCTCAAAGTAAGTGGTACAATGTTTAGTCGTTGGTGCATTCTACGAAAACGAGCGGGGTTTTTGCCCGACAGATTGCGAATCAGAGGAGGTTGGAAGCTCTTCCCGGCATGCATTGTAACTCATTAATATTATCGATTTCCCTGGACGCGCCGTCATTGTTCGACTAGCTCTCATTGTGTTCACTACTCAATTACAAGGAGCAGTAAGTACAAATTGAAAATTGTAATCATGGCGAATATTCGCACTGTTCGTGGCCTCGTTCGTGGCAACAAAGCTACTGATTTGGATGCACGTGACAATCTTTATGTACATTGTGTGTCGAAAGAGCGACTGGAGCTGCTTCGTGAAGGGATGTCATGTGTAGAACTCGAAATTATGCCGCTGTGAACTTCTGGTTTTATGGATAGTAGCGCGTAGAAGTTGAAGATATGTTTGCCGAATGCGATAGTCCTTCATTGATAGAAATTTATTCTAGTTGTGACATTAAGGTACGATTATTTTATGATTTAATTGGTGGGAAAACGAAAACGAGCGGGTATTTTGCCCGACAGATTGCGAATAAAGACAAACACAAATGGCGGTTCGAGAATACTCGACTCGGAACTCAACGTGAACAATTCAATTATGCTACTGTACGTAATTCGTGTTACTATCTATCTATCTATGTTACAAACCCGGTGACATAAAGGATTTTGCTTCGCATGCAAATCCTTAAAAACCGTTTACGAGCACAGTTATAAATGACGCGCGCTTTGACCAAAAACAGAATATTTTTACTCCTAAACCAATGAATCTTACTTAAAACAGGATCTGTTTCATCCACCATTACATTTCCCTTAGTTTTCGTAATTGAAGTTTTTGTTCCCATGCTCATTATGTCATCTGCCTTGGCTCCCTTCTTCATACGACAAAGGAATGAACGTTTAGCTCCTGGACATAAATTCCCAGAAATTTCAATTCCTTCTTTCAATATAGAAGAATTTTTAGGGATGGTCTTTTCCTCCTTGCTCTCTGAGGCAGTGGTAGACAGTTGATTTTTGACCATAGTTATATCCTTACGGTGGACAAATTCGTAAAAATCGAAACCAACCATCTCATCCTAAAATGCATTGAAAATTATGTTGTACTCGTGCACATAACACTCTCTATTATACCACTCAATTATAACAACGTAGTTGTTAAAATTTCTGTGAAAATTTCTCAGTCGACAAAACAGACTTGGAGATTTATACCCAAGAGAAATATTATTTGAATAGGAGTCATTCTCATTTAATAACACTTTGTAAGATGGGTATAAATTCAAAATATCATGAGGAGTTTGGGCATCTCACTCGATAGAACTATATATATATATATATATATATATATATATATATATATATATATATATATATCTTGTTTGTCGATGCTGACACGTATCTGAAGAGTGCTCAATGCAGGTACGATTTTGCAGAGCAAAACTATTATTAGTGTAGACTAAGACATGATATCTGAAGATAATTTAATAAAACCTAAAGCTATTTACGATAAAAGTTTTAATAAAACCTAAACCTATTACGATAAAAGTTTTTATCGTAAATAGGTTTAGGTTTTATTAAATTATCTTCAGATATCATGTTTTAGTCTACACTAATAATATATTATACATATATATATATATATATATATATATATATATATATATATATATATATATATATATATATATATATATATATATATACGCGATATCATTATTCACCTGATGAGTGTGGCAAGCTTAGTTTGCCATACGAAACAAATTTGTCGTGAATAAATGTTTTAAACGAAGTAACTCAAGTTTGTCTTTCATTTGCTCTACTTACGTATCGAGCACTCTATTCGTATGATTCGACACTCAATATACTTATTGACATTCACCTATATATATATATATATATATATATATATATATATATATATATATATATATATATATATATATATATATATATATATATATATATATATATATATCCCTCTCGAAGGAAAGTGCAAAGTGCAACCGAGGGTGCGACAACAGCTTTGCTAAGACTTCTTTGAACAAGTTAATAATTAACTTTAATTATTTATATCTATGTACCTTGACATTTGCTGAGTTGATATCTTCTATTACATTTATTTTGTATTCTTTGTAAGTTAAACGGATTTAATCATGAGTATTGTTGTAAAA